TGTCTGGATCCGCAGTGAGTTTGAGTCTTTATATAGACAAGGCCTTGTATCGCTTGGAAACATGCAAATTGGAAGATCCAATAATCTGTGAGAGATTGACAGCTGAGTGTATCCACCTGCCAGATTTACGCTAGTCAGAAGCACCTGTAATCCAATCAGAGCTCGTTACAGAGCCTGACGTGTCTGACCTTTCACTTTAGAGCCAGATGATTGGCTTTGGTTCCTATGAAGTCTAATGTGGTTAAAGGAAGCGGTCTAATGAGGCCGGTTGCCGTGGATGCAGACGTTGTCCCCATGACCCTCGGCCACTCGGCTGGCTTCCCTCCGTCCTGTTGGTTCTTTCCTTCTAGGGTCTATCTGCTTTTCCTGTCTTTGTCTTCGTGTGCCTGGTTGAACTCCACAACTATCTCTCTCTCTCTCTGTCCGTCCTTCCCTTCCCTGGAGAACCGCTCAGTTTTCCCGCCGCCCACATCTGTAATGCTCACCCACTTACCACTGATTAGCCCTCAGATGATTCTCATTACTGACAGAGACCTAATGAGCTGCTGGCCGATAGGTATTTTGAACGGACGCACACACACACAGAGAAAGAAATAACCCTAAAGAGAAAAGTAAACCATGGATGAAGGTAATGGATCCGCTCCACATCCAGTCGTCTCTTAATTCCCACTTCAGCTCCATTACTTATCCCGTCTTCTCTCAGCCCGTTCAGGGAGCAGGAAAAGGTCCAGACCTGCACGAGAGGCAGCTTGGACCGCAGGAAGCTGAGGGAAGGCGTTTTGATTAAGTGATGGTTGAAGTGGCTGTTTTGTCAAACACAGAGGAAGCCTGTGGAGACAAATTCAGTTAAGTATGAGATAAGGCAACATGTTATAGAGGCATTACTCGGTCTGTACTTGAGATCGAATAGATTTGTGATGAATAATAAAACCCTGCTGCTGAGTGCAGGGCCCTCTGGAAATAATAAATGCCTTTTTTTAAGTGAGAACTTCAGCTCTCCTGTTCATGTAGGTCAGATGAGCAGAAATTAAAGTTTTTAAATACCCACTGCATTTGAACTTCAATCTACTGCACCTCGTTGACAGGGAGTTGCATTCCTTTGCTATCAGTTATTAAAGTCTTAGCAAAGTCATATTAACATGTCAAATTACATCTTAAAATTTTTTTCTTCTTCGTTATTTCACGAATCAGCCTGAACACCTAAATTCGGCCAATCATATATCAACGGTCATCTGTCA